AGCCGTAACAAACAAAACGCCTACTAATTGAAAGACCGTTTGTTCGGACCTCGGATGTTCCATGAACCTGGGGTTGAAAATGTCTACATTCTCACAGAAAGGCATGTGCGCGTGTCTCCCGTTCTGCAGCGTCCCATATTGGCTGTAGCCATAGTGCTTCCGTAGGATTTAGTTGCTCGGCTCTTCTAATACTTTTTTATTTTTCTTCTTCAAGCTAATTTGACAGATTACTAGCCAACCTGAGCGAGATGCTATAAATACACACAGAGTTGAAATGGATCCGACAAGGCAAAGGGAGCCCAGAATGGTAATTTCTGGCTTGTTAGACGTCAGCAGCCAGTCATACCCAATCACAAGGGTTGGAACCCTCGAGATTCGAACCCGGGACCTTTGGTCATTGAGTTTAATACTCTACCCCGGCACACAGTTTGTAATCGCATTGTTCATGTTATCACTCTATGCCAGACCTGTTCACAATAGGGAGACTAACTGACGACGGCTAATAAGCCATAAATGGTTATCCTAATTTCCCTTTGTCTTTGCCAATCTGCCTTCCTGCCCTTCCAACCTTCTGTCTTACACCTTTCCCTCAAATATTTTCATTCCGAGCATGAATGTCATGGTTTTCGTTACTTTATAGGCTCTGAATGAAGAGCAGTCTTGCCACGACAAGGCAGCCAATCGTCTAGTCTACTTGAATGCCGTTATCAACAGTCTAAAGGCGCTAAAAGCACAACCCGCATTTTCGACTAAAAGTACCAGTCAACTCCGGCCATCCGCCAGCAAGCCTCAGAAACGTGGCCATGTTGAAGTACCACAGCGTCCGACGGTCGACTTGGATGAGTTAGTGAAAGGTACATGTTCCGTATTGGCGTTCGTTTCATGGTGACCTCTGTATGTTTTTTTATGAATGTTGAATCTTTCCAGTACGTTTCAAAGCCTACTTAACGAATACAATCACATAAAAGGGAAACCACGGCTCAAGTTGTTTGACTCCCAACTGCGAATAGTGACCATGAACGATTTTGCGATGTAACCCCAATCGCATGGCAAACTGTAACCTTTTACTCTTCATTATGAAAAGGCTGACAGTTTAGTCGGGAGTCGGTGTACTCCTTGTTTTGGAACAAACTTTCCACGTATGGGGAGCTTACAGGCAACTCATTCTCCTTTCCCTTCAGAACAAAAATATTCTGCAGGCAGACTTCAGACTGGCAAACATGGAACAGTAGATAATTTCTGGGTACGGTTTTTCGCTGCGAAAGTTATCCTACATGCTACACGTAAGGTCACTTTTTTGCTAGTGTATGTGGATGTGCTCTGTCATTCCTACCTTGCACTTTAGGCCCCGCTTTCTACCGAGAGCTGCAGTCTTTCCTCCTATCAGAGGAAGATCTCATCACGAACAGGTTTCCTCGTCCGGACACCAGCTCCAATGCTCCGCGTGGGCGGGCGATTGTGCCCATACCAGATGACAAAAAGGCCGCAAACGATGCTTGTGCTGGTGGGTTTTTTACGCCTTTTTTGACTTAACAT